TTTGAATTATTTCTCTTTACTTTTGTGTTTATTATAATGGAGAAATTCTTTATTTTGGAAAAATCTATAACAGTTACTCTTCTTGAATGCTTAGGCCAAATAATAATCAAGTTTTATGCCTTTTTCTTCTGCTTATCATTCAGTATTTATTTGACGGTGATCCTTAATCAATTTACTTTTCTGTTTCTGGCCTTAAATAAAATTGCTTCACTGAGAATTGGGTGACGAAGAGCTGAGGATAAAAAAAATTCCATATGAGAGCAATTTCAATCTCTAGTTTATAATAATCAGTTAAAAAAAGATTTCCTGGAATTAAGCCACAGGAACTCTGGCTTAAGTCAGAGCTGTCAACTGGGAAACAAATTTCCAGACATTTTGAAATTTAATTCATTTAATTTTTCTTGTAACTGGATTAGAAAATAAGATTAAGCTTAGCAAGATATTCTTTGACTGGATCTGTCTGTCTTTGAATGCAGCAAATAGATATGAAAATCTCAAAGAAGAAAGAAAAAGGGCTTTAGAGCCATTCTCCCTTAAGGAATGTAAGAATGCAAGGGAATATACACACTCAAGTTTTTTAAATAAAAAGAAAGTATTTTATTTTGCTGTGCATGAAATGTTTTGTGTAGCTGTATTTTGATCTTAACCCTTAATTGAATGTATGCTATGCTACTTTGACTTGGAAGTCCACAAAAGAAAGTAGTTATCAAAATACTCTATAAATGCTTTCCAACTAATTCTCTGAAACCATTTGTAAGGTGATTGAGTCAGAAATGTTCAAAAACTGGTGTGGATATGTGTGTCGATAGTTAGGGAAGGAAACAATATAATTCTACAGAATTCAAAAAGTTTTACAAAGGAAGAGAAATTCAATCTCTTGTGATATATAGTGTGATAATTTATTTTTGATCATTTGTACAGTGTATGTGAAAATACATTGAGAATTATAACATTTTATACAAAATGTGAAACAGTAATACTGCTTTCTTTAATAGTGTGCTCATTGTACTGTCTTAAGAGAGTTATTGAAACTTTTATCCCAAAATATAATAAAAGTGTAATGACAGAAAGATAAAAAATTATTTCTGGTTACATTTAAAATTAGAATAGATATCAAGAAAGACTAAATCAGGATCTACATGAATACCATAAAAATAAAAAGTCATTTGGAGGATTGATGTTTTGTAATAAAGGGCAATTATACATTCGTAAACATAATGAACATAAGTATTTTTTTGCTTTTTGCACTTGTTTCTGCATAAAATCCTTATATGGGGATGGAACCCCACTGGTCCTGGCTAGAACACTGTAATCATTCTCTTAATTCAGTGCAACTAATAAAAGATTAAGGCATTTTTACATTAAGCTTCACTTTTTTTGTTTTTAAAAAATTTCCTCTTTTTTTCTTACATCTCAAAGTTACTCACTATAAATTTATATGTATCAGACATAATGACGTTTTAATAAGAAATCCAAGCCCTGTTCATCCCGTGGGAGTGTTACGGTGACGTCTTTCAGAGGGCTTTGTGATTGCTCAGCCCTAAGTATGAGCCCTATAAAATGATGGGCTTTGAAATGCTGGTCAGGGTACAGTGCAGAGCTGGCGGTAACAGCCAAGCCTTAGCCAGTTCTAGGGGCAGAGAAGCAGTGAAGCCTCTCTGGCCTCCGGGATTTCAGCACCGAAGACAGCTCCAACACCCTCTAAAAGACCAGGTTCCTGAGGTGAGGTGCACCACCCTCAAGGCAAGTGAAAACTTTACCTTTCTTTTTTCTTCTTGTTCTTGAAACTTTTTCCTGAGCTATATTGAATCCTTCTCTCTCTTGAAAAGAATCTCACAATATTTCTACAGGAAAAAAGACAACTTTCTCAAATCACCTAGTAAGAGTAGAAATATCTCAATTTCTCTCCTGCAAATAGATTTTCTGAATCCATTTATTTGGAAGATGCTTTTTTTCTGTTTGCTTCTTTACTAAATACTTATTTTTTTAAAAAATAATCCATTTGAGTAGATCTTTTTGCTTGTACATAGATTTTTGTCTGAAAAGTTCAGTTGATACCTTTGTTTTTGAAGTTTTCAAGTTATTTTTAAATTGTTGTTCTTTCTATGTCCCATGTTGATTAAGTGAACTTAGAAAGAATTTATTGTCCTCTTAGTTTTAAATTTAAATTCTGTGACTTTTGCAAGCAGCAAGAAAAGCAGACCTTGAAGGCTTAACTTTTCATTTAGAAACTCTTTAGAAAGGAAATGTGTAAGTGGATCAAATGAAATAAACATAAGCTTTGATTATATATATATATATATATATATTTTCTTTTTTAGAAAAAGAGCAAACGGGGATCTAATAGGTCCTATGATCAAAGTTTAAGTGATTCCTCTTCTCACTCTCAGGATAA